TCTTTTGGAGATGTTGATAATAGGTTTGCCATATGTATACAAATATTGAAAGGCTACCGAGAAGAAACAATTCCTGGTACACCCTCAAATTACGCCAAACTTTACAAAAGTTGCTGGAATGTTGATCCGCAAAAGCGTCCAGAAATAAACGAAATACATAATGATCTTAATAAAATATTGGAAGAAGCGGATATAGAATTTATTACAAATTGTGAAAGAAAGCCTAAACCTATTTTAACCAATGATTTAACCAATACTTATCCAAATGATTTATTAACGGTTGGACCATCCTCACTGACAATTAGAGAACCTAATTCGAAAAATTCCAAAGCATCTTCAATTAAATCGATACTATCGCGATATCATGGAAAGTTAGAACCGAATGATCTAAAATTTCAAGGACTAGTTTATTATGAAGCGAATAATTATGAAGCATCTCTTGACTTTTTAACCAAATTACTTGATGTTAATTCGAATGATGCGGATGCACTGAAATTCAGAGGATTAACTTACTATAAATTAAAAAAATATGATAAATCTATTACAGATTTAACTAAATCATTGCATATTAAAAATGATGTAATTGTATTAATATGTCGAGGACGTGTATATAATCATTTATGTCGTTATAGTGAGGCATTCATAGATTTAAATAAAGTATTAAGACTTGACCCTAATAATTCTTTCGCATTAATGTATCGAGGGCAAACCTATTACATGCTAAAAAAATATAAAGAGTCACTTGTAGATTTAAATAAGTCATTAGAATATGATTCAAATAGCGCAGATGCACTAAGGTTACGAGGACAAACATATTATGCGTTAAAAGACTATGAACGGTCTCTTACAGATTTAAATAAATCATTAGAAATTAATCCTAATAATTTAGCTACACTAAGATCTCGAGGACTAACATATTATATGCTAGGACGTTATGATGATTCTCTTATAGATTTGGACAAAACAATTAGGATTGATTCAGAAGATGTCTTTGCATTACAAATTCGAGGACAAATTCACTTTAATAAAAGAGCCTTTAAAAATTCTCTCAAAGATTTAAGTAAAGCGTTAGACATTGATCCTAAAAATGTTGCTGGATTACAATTTCGAAGCCAAATTCATTTTATGCAAAGAGACTTTAAAAGTTCACTTAATTATTTAAGTAAAGCACTGGAAATTAATCCAAAAAATGCCAATACTTTAAGGTTACGAGGACAAACATATTATAGTATGGATAAATACGACAAAGCTTATGAAGATTTAACAAAATCATTAAAGATAGAACCAGATAATGTATCTGCATTAAGATATCGAGGACAATGTAATTATCGATTAAAACGTTATAAAGAATCGCTTGATGATTTAGATAAATCAATTAAATTAGAACCGAATAATGCAGATGCGCTAAATTTTAGAGGGAAAGTATATTATATGCTCGAGCGCTACGATGAATATGTTTCAGATTTAAATAAGCTATCAAAAATCGATTCATTTTTAGCTACTGAATTAAGAACGATAGAAAAAACACATAAGCTTAATCGATACGAAGAATGGCTTGAAGCTGCAATTTCGGGACATCACATAAGGATTTTTGGATATGATGAATTTAGCAATTTGGAAAAAATTGATGAGGGAGGATATGGAACAGTGTTTAAGGCAGACTGGAAAAATCACGAACTTCCTGTTGTTCTTAAAAGTCTAAAGGTTAATAATGTTCAAGTTGTTATTAAAGAGGTATTATTAGTTTTAATCTATAAGTGTTTAAATAAGTTGTATTTTATAAGATTTATTGATATTTTATATGTTTTATAGCTTCAACTTTTACTAAAAGTAAGCTTCCATCCTAACATAAATCAATTATATGGTGTAACTAAAGGTATGTATTTCTTATCATTGTTGCTTACTTTCCCGAAGTCCTTTTCCGAAATGCTATTTTTCCGACCCCACGACAAGACCCAGTTCTGTCAATTTAGTTCACTGATAGTTTATTTCACCAACAGTCATTTCACCGAAAAGTAATTCCGGCATTGTTTTTAGGGTCAGTTTAGAATTAGTGTCGGTAAATAAACTTCTCAATGAATTAATTGTCGGTGAAATGACACGGATCCAATTAGGCCCTGTTAGTAAAATGGATTGTCAGTATCACGACTTCGGTAAAAGGGTATCTCAGTACAATGGACTTCGGGAAGTCAACCCGGAACTATTCTTATTCTTATATAGGAATAATTGTCATACTTACGATCATGTTTATATGTTTATAGAGTTTGGAACCGGTTTTTTATATGTTAAAACCAATTAAATCCGATTTTGACATATGAAACATAGAACCGGTTCCAAACTCTACCTTATATTACATGCCAATAGATCACTCTGGACTTTATAGTTTAGTTTTGCAATTTGCCGACAGTGGAAACTTGCGAGAATATCTTAGAGCAAATGAATTAACATTACAATGGGCAGATAAATTACGCATCGCAAAAGAAATAGCACAAGGTCTGATGTTCTTGCATAACAATAATATTGTTCATAGAGACCTGGTAAGTATGAATAATTGTTATTTTTATATGTTGCTCACTTTCCCGAAGTCCTTTTCCCAAAATGCTATTTCTCCGATCCATAATTCCGATATCCGACAAGACCCATTTCTGATAACCGACAGTCATTTCACCGAAAAGTAATTCCGGTCATTGTCGTTAGGGTCAGTTTAGAATTAGAGTTAATGTTAGTGCAATTTTTAAAAAAATTTGTCGATGAAATGAGCTATCGGTGAAGTAATTATCAGTGAAATAAACTTCTCGGCGAATTGATTGTCGGTGAAATGACACGTATCCAATTAAGTCTTGTTAGTAAAATGGACTGTTAGTATTATGACTTCATTGAAAGGGTATTTCAGAAAAATGGACTTCGGGGAGCCGTTATTTTTAGATGTTTACTAAGTTATAAATGTTTTATAGCATTCCAAGAATATTTTGGTTCATGGTGGGAATATGATGATTGCAGATTTTGGCTTGTCGTTCAGACCGGATGATGAGTTAATTACTGTAGGAGTTCATGGAATGCCTGCGTATCTGGAGCCGCAATACATTAAAAGTTCAACATATATAATTGATAAGAAATCTGACGTTTATAGTTTCGGTGTAATTCTTTGGGAGATTTCGAGTTGTAAACCCCCATTCCAATCATTTACACTTGAACATGCTATTGCCATTCAGATATTTCAGGGAAAACGAGAAATACCTGTTGAAGGTACGCCACAAGAATATATCAATCTTTATCAAAAG